GTATTATCGCTGAGATGGAAACAATGTTAAAATTATGGCGTAATAATCAAGTAAATGTGAAAAATTGTAAAATAATATAGGCCTAATTTGTTATACATATGTATTATCTAAGATTTTATTAAACATTTTTTTCTAAATTATTGTTTTCTTTAGTCTCCGGCCCCAATTAAAAATTATTTGTATGTATTTATATGCAAAATTATACCCTGACTTACGTGAATTCGACTTATGCGGTTACCGTTCGGTCCCACCTATTGCGTAAGTTTGGGGTATTACTGTATATTGAAGTCAAAGCAATTTTAACAATATAAGCAAATTCAAAAATAACTTAAACATTTAGAACAAAAATTATTCATTTTACTCACTCAAATATCCAGATGTCCTTTCAAAAATTTTAAATTTTAATAAAATATTTATCCCAAAAATATTGTACAAATATTAAGTAAATAAGAATTATAAATCTGTTATCATGATTAACATGTCCTACGTTGTTCCCGAAAACATTCATGTTGACCTCATTGACTTGCGTGAGCAATCCCGAATATATTCGTGTTTACATCGGAATGTTTTTGATACTAGATGTCGCTATGCGTCACAATTTTTATATTAAAACGAACTTTTAAAATATGATTGATTTTTTTCGTTTTTATATTATTCAATATATTTATTTTGTTTGTGAAACATAAAAAAATAATTTTTTATGATACAGTAAACACGATTATCATTTAAAAAAAATTTAGGCTTAACATCGAAGAAAATTCAACATGGCGTCATAGGCAACAAATAAAAATTTCAACATCGAATAGGTTAATTGAATAACATAACAGAAATGTAATTAAATTCTATTATGTTCTGTTATAAACTTATCATATTTATCTAAATTAAAATTTTAAGCATAAGCAGTGTTTTTATAATGGAAATTACTTCTTTAAGCTTAAAACCATTAGGCTTGAACAAATATTTAAAACTATATTCAGGAAATTATCTTAAGTTTTTTTTTTTATAATGAATTTCTGTTTTCTAAAAGCAGATATCTTTCATTTAAATACTGATTTAAATATATACTCTTTCTATATTCTTTATTCACATACAAACGGTTGACAGTCTTACCTGTACCATAATCTATCCTTGTTGAATTACCAAAACTTTCTTGCAAATAACTTGAAATTTCAATTATGGCTCCATGAAATTCTGCAGATAATGCTTCTTTTAATACATCTGCAACATTCTGAAAATAAAAATTAAAAACAGATTTGGTGTTTACTTTCATGTTTGAAAATTAATTAATATTTAAATACAATAATTATTGCTCCCAGGATTTAATTAAGAATTCCACTATAAACCTGAAGTCCCATTAATTTGATTAGAGCATTTGTCATGTTGCAGAAATTGGATTTACATAACAATTCTATAATAAGAATTGAATCAAACATTCTTTTTCTAAAGTTTATATAGTGTATAAACTACAGTAGAGCGTCGATTTTCCGAATCAATTGGGGACTGGGGTTGTCCGGATAACTGATATTTCGGATAACTGATTTANTTACTTTTTGCCCACAAATAAAAACCTAGCAAAGCGGGTCCTTGCAGCAAGATTCTAGATTACTTAGAAAAACAGTCTTTTATATATAAAAAACAAAAACTATATTACATACAAATGTACGAACTAATAAAAACCCAGCGAAGCGGGTCCTTGCAGCTAGTAGGTTATAATTCTCATTTGGCTTAACTTTTTTTTTAACTTAAAAAGTAATTATTATTATTGAAGTCATTCTCAATTAAAACAATATAAGGAAACTACAATACTAAGAAGCATGTCCTCAAATTTCATCTATTTTTAATTATGATATATTCGAAGTTTTAGTTAGAATTCTATCCAAGTCTGATTATTTGATAATTTTATTGTTGTTTAAGGGGTGACCCACCTCCATTATCCCCATTCTGAGACCCAGTAAATATAACCAAATGAAGAATTTAATCATGTACAGTTGTCCCTCTATAGTCCAACGTTTTTTAATCCGACATGCTCAGTAGTCCGACGCACCTCCCGTCAAGGTACCCGTCCCTGTTACGTGTCTGCTTGCACAGAAGCATGTCGCGATGTGAATCTCCCCATCCAATTCTTACACGATGACACACATTTCGTGTGTTTTATGTGAGCAGTTCTGTTCGAACAGTTGGAGTAGAGAATATTGTAAGTTACTGCTAGCAAAACAATGTGAAGTATGTAATTATTTTCGGTAATCCGGACACTTTTGGTAATCTGACACACCTTTGGTCCCATACCTGTCGGATTATCAAGGGACAACTGTATATGTAAATGCATTGCAGCAATGTATATGGTAGGGATGACTCCACTCCTACCATCCCTACCACAACTCAAGAAATGGGATCAATGAAAATGTTAAAAAAAATTCTTTTAATGTATTAATTAATATGTAATGAGTCATTACATTAATCTTACTTAGCACAAAGCAATATTTCTAACATTTTAAAACAAAATTTCATAATTTAATTTAGGCAAATCTATTAGTTTTATTAACCATTCAATATTTACCTATTAAATATCTTCAGAATAACCAAAAGAGCATCAGACTGTTGAAATACTCCAATTTTAAAAAGACAATAAAGAAACATTGCAAAAGAAATTTCATGGCCTGTAGAAAAATAAGATTATTCTAATGCATAAATATATGCAATTTTTATATAAATTTTTTCATTTGAATCTATGATTGTAATATGATTTTTACTACTTTTCTATCTTAAAATTTAATTTATTTTGTGCAGAAGTAATTCCATTATGCTAATAATACTACTCTATTCATAAGTTAATAGAGTATCAGAGATAGTTGTATTATGCTTATCTTTACATTACAGTAATACCCCGACTTACGTGAACCCGGAGTTACGCGATTTTCAAATCTCATCGATTCGTCTTTGTTTGAGTGCCACGCGACCCTTGATTACTCACTCCCCCCACACTATTGTTCAGCTTACATGTTCGGATGTGTCGCGCGGAATCCACACATAGCTACAATTTATTTTGTGTTATTTATTTCTGTGTTTGTTATATCTACGGAGACTTGAGAGACTCTACTCTGTCATCCAAATGAAGTAGAACTAATTCTTCTGCATCAAACAAGAAAAGAAAAACTTTATCTTTGGAATGTAAAGTTAACATTGGGTATGTTCGTAAAGTCGAACGAGTTAAGCGAGAATGAAGTCATCGTTATTCCTATTTCGTTAGACTTTTCGAACGATTCGTTACTAACGCGTTTAACTCGTTTGACTTTACGAACGTACCCATTATTAAAGACTTCGATACAAAAATGAAAATTTGTGAATTGGCAAAGAAGTTTGATCTACCGGAATTGTCGGTCAGAACAATTATAAAAGGCAAAGAAAAAATTCTCGAAGCTGTGAAAAATGCTCAATCTTTAAATTCAAGCATCATTCGTAAACGTCACAGTATTATCGCTGAGATGGAAACAATGTTAAAATTATGGCGTAATAATCAAGTAAATGTGAAAAATTGTAAAATAATATAGGCCTAATTTGTTATACATATGTATTATCTAAGATTTTATTAAACATTTTTTTCTAAATTATTGTTTTCTTTAGTCTCCGGCCCCAATTAAAAATTATTTGTATGTATTTATATGCAAAATTATACCCTGACTTACGTGAATTCGACTTATGCGGTTACCGTTCGGTCCCACCTATTGCGTAAGTTTGGGGTATTACTGTATATTGAAGTCAAAGCAATTTTAACAATATAAGCAAATTCAAAAATAACTTAAACATTTAGAACAAAAATTATTCATTTTACTCACTCAAATATCCAGATGTCCTTTCAAAAATTTTAAATTTTAATAAAATATTTATCCCAAAAATATTGTACAAATATTAAGTAAATAAGAATTATAAATCTGTTATCATGATTAACATGTCCTACGTTGTTCCCGAAAACATTCATGTTGACCTCATTGACTTGCGTGAGCAATCCCGAATATATTCGTGTTTACATCGGAATGTTTTTGATACTAGATGTCGCTATGCGTCACAATTTTTATATTAAAACGAACTTTTAAAATATGATTGATTTTTTTCGTTTTTATATTATTCAATATATTTATTTTGTTTGTGAAACATAAAAAAAAAATTTTTTATGATACAGTAAACACGATTATCATTTTAAAAAAATTTAGGCTTAACATCGAAGAAAATTCAACATGGCGTCATAGGCAACAAATAAAAATTTCAACATCGAATAGGTTAATTGAATAACATAACAGAAATGTAATTAAATTCTATTATGTTCTGTTATAAACTTATCATATTTATCTAAATTAAAATTTTAAGCATAAGCAGTGTTTTTATAATGGAAATTACTTCTTTAAGCTTAAAACCATTAGGCTTGAACAAATATTTAAAACTATATTCAGGAAATTATCTTAAGTTTTTTTTTTTATAATGAATTTCTGTTTTCTAAAAGCAGATATCTTTCATTTAAATACTGATTTAAATATATACTCTTTCTATATTCTTTATTCACATACAAACGGTTGACAGTCTTACCTGTACCATAATCTATCCTTGTTGAATTACCAAAACTTTCTTGCAAATAACTTGAAATTTCAATTATGGCTCCATGAAATTCTGCAGATAATGCTTCTTTTAATACATCTGCAACATTCTGAAAATAAAAATTAAAAACAGATTTGGTGTTTACTTTCATGTTTGAAAATTAATTAATATTTAAATACAATAATTATTGCTCCCAGGATTTAATTAAGAATTCCACTATAAACCTGAAGTCCCATTAATTTGATTAGAGCATTTGTCATGTTGCAGAAATTGGATTTACATAACAATTCTATAATAAGAATTGAATCAAACATTCTTTTTCTAAAGTTTATATAGTGTATAAACTACAGTAGAGCGTCGATTTTCCGAATCAATTGGGGACTGGGGTTGTCCGGATAACTGATATTTCGGATAACTGATTTATGTACGAAAAAATAGTTTAATGTATCTGATGTCGAAATTTTTATCCGTTGCATGTCGTTTCGCGTTGAATTTTCATCGATGTTAAGCCTAACAAAGACTATTGTATCATTAAAAATTTTTTTTTAATTTTGTACAAACAAAATATATTGAAAAATATAAAAATAATAAAAAATTATACTTCAGATGTTAATTTAGTATCGAAAACATAAAATATTTGAGTAGCCCAAGACATAGCCAAAGATTGAAGAGCCACAGCACCGGCAAAAATTTAAATTTGCCGACTGGAATTCTTTCTGATGATTGACTTTCAGAAAATCGACACACTACTGTATATATAAACAATAGCACCTAATACTATTTATTTAATATATATATCAGTAGCATACATGTCAATTGCAAAGCAATTGCTGGTCAATAATTGGTTCAAATTTTCTGGTCAAAGCAATTGCTGGTCAAATAATTGGTTCAAATTTTATACACCAAACTATGATGAGGTTAATTAGAAAAAATAAAAAATAATAATGTATAAAATCAAAGAAAAATATTGTTTTATTTATGTGGAGACATATTTGCTAATAATCTTACAATTTAAGTGATTAAAATAATAATACATAGTATCATTTTCAAGAAGTGTAAATACATTTAAAATATATTTATGATATCAAATGCATTTCTTGTATATCAGATTAATTTAATGAAAAAGAACATTTTTTGTTAATTCTAATAATCTGTTAAGGCACATTTGTGCATGATTGGATTCACTCATAATTTCACTAGCAGTACTATCACACCACATCTTTTTGAACTTGGATAGGTACTGTACAAGCAATGTTGCCAATTTAGTGACCTATGATAAACAGTTTGTCACTAAATAGTATTGTTCAATATTAAGTGGAATAGCAATAAATCAAGCAATAGATAAAAATTAGAAACTAAAATAGTGACTTTTAGAAATAAAACTCCATATTTCATCTTATTATTTTTGTTCCTATATTATTAAAAAATAATTTGAATTGATTTATTAGTGTTATTGTTGTGTATGTGATTTTCTGTAATTATTAAATCATTAATAAATATTTTGTTTTGATTTATTTGTCTTATTTGATGAAAATTAACAGGAAATATGCATGTATGGTACTGTACATTCTATGCATCTGATAAAGATGTAGTACTTAAGAATTTCCTGAACACCACCCTCATTGGACAGGTATGATAATGTAGTAACATCAGAGCCCAGGAGGAACTAGAAATTTTTAAGGCAGAAGCAAAGGAGAAATGTATAAACTTTAGAGAAGAAAAACATATTTCCTATGCACAGCAGACATTTTTTTCTACACCTAACAATTTCTTGTGAATGTGAGACATGATGGGATTGTGATCACAATCTTTTTGATCACTGCATATGCTCCATCTAGTTTGTTTAATCAAAATTTAATAAGTTAAATGAATATTCTACAAGAAGACTGCACATTATGATAATTTTGAATTTAAAAAATTTTGTTAAATATTTCATAAAAAGAATATACATTCAGAAGTTGTATTACACATTTGTTTTGGATTCATAATCTTCCAAGAAAAACTAGACCCAAGGAAGATCCAAAAAAAGAAAGGATTGAAAATGTTAGTCTGTTTCTACATACACAATATATTGAAGTTACACAAGTGTTCTCAAATGTATATCATCAAGAGTAACTTTTATATATTGAAAAATTTTAAATACTTGAATACAAAATTTTACTGAAAAATAAAAAATTATGTTTTTTTAATTTATAGTTTAATTTTAAATAGTTTAAAAATGATCAAATAAAAAAGGAAAAAAGAAAGACTTACATCTTTTAATTTATTGTACCATTGAGTAAATGCTTTATTTCCAAATCTCTGAGGTTGTTGAATAGGTGGTATTTCCACAATCCATGATTGCAGTTTTTCTAAAAGTGATATAATACCATCAACTGCCTATATTAAGAACAAAAAATTAAATCAAACAAGCATATAATTTAAATAAGAATTAAAGTATACTTCACATTTTATATATTCAAAATTAATAAGTTATAAAAATAACGTTATTCAGAATTAATTCAAAAGCACAGACTTTCAAAGAATATACAGATCGAAACTTTTGATTCTTGGTTGCAAACTGATTTTGTACGTGGGCAACAAAGTTTATGAATAAGACCAAGACTAATGATGGGAATCTCACATAAGATTACTGTGAAATACACACTAATCACTGTTCACTGTAAGTTTATGCATTACAATCAGTAACTCAGATTTTGTACAGCATTAGTAAGTTTCTATGCATGCACCATTAATGATGTAGTGCACATCATACCGAAATTTAATTTCAGGCCTTGCACAATCAAGAATGTTTGGTTTAATGCTTGTAACTGTGTCAGATTTATAGAATCGGTAATGACAGATTTTTGGAAAATCTACATTAGATTAATTTTTTCAATGTCTTGCCAATTTTTTATGCATATTAATGTAAAAATGTTTCAGCTTAAACTGAAATTTTCATTACATTAATATTCATTAATATAATAAAAGCGTAACATTTTTTGAAAAAGAGATCATTATAACAAAACCTGTGCATGTATAAATCAGTCATCTTTCATTGTGAAAGGATATTTCAACATTTATTCAGCAACACAAATTTTTGTCAATTTAATTTGAAGTGTAGTGTCATTACTATACAATTATCCGAAATGGTAATCTTGACTTCAACTAATATTGTAGATGTCGATATTACCGTTTCAAGTGCAACCAACATGTAAAAGCCTGTGTCTTTTCTGATAAAATTAAAAGATGTATAAAACAGTATATTGGAATGCTGTGAAAGTTTACAAATTTATGGAGAATTTAACTACAAATATATTGATAGTACAATTGAAAATTAAAGACTTCTTTCAACAATAAATATTGGAGAGGGGCATGACTATCAGTGCTATCACTATTTTGTGTGTCAAGCTGTTGGTTCAAGACAGTGCTGACAAAAAACTTTGGGTTATATATGTAGATAACCACATGTTGACGTCAAGGTGGTAAAAATAACATCCTGTTACTCTGGAGAACCCAGGTACCAGTCTGGGTAGGCTCAGAATTTTTCAAGGCTTGATTGATTTGGATATGCCTCACTAGCTGGCCACCCCATATTGTGGGCCTAACCAAACTCATGATGGACATGATTAAAATGCCCTCTTAGGCCTGCAAGATAAAAAGAGCCAAAAAACAAAAAAAGCTAAACATAAAATGTGAATTGACTAAAGTTTTTTACAAAATACAAAAGTGTAAAATTTACTCCAACTAGTAATACTAGAAAAAGCTGATTTTAAATAGTCCTTGCTCTCAAGGTTTAAGATTTTTTTCATTATTTAATAGTTTTTTTCAACATTCTGGCATTTTGACTACCTTTCACTATACTGAAATTTCACTATAACAACTTCTTTTGGTGACTTCATGATTTCATCATTCTGACATATTACTGTCTATAATAAATATCCAAATTTTTGAATAAGATATTGTAAAATTGGAATAGAGCACTATTTTGAATTTTAAAAATTTTGCTAAAAGATATAATGCATTTAAATATCAATAATATCAAATTTTTGGAGCAAAATCTTTCTATTACATAGTTCTTTTTCTGCAATATTGAAGTATAAGATAGTTTATTTTAAGGTTTTATGATTATTAATTGTTTTGTTATAAAAAGATATTTAAATAAACATTTCTAAAATACTAACTGGAGTAGTCTCTTTAGCATCAGATATTTTCTTCCCTTTCACTGCTTCATTCATTGCTAATATAAATCCCATATACTCTGAATATGCCTGAAAATCCATATAAAATAATTAGTTCAAATAATAATTTAAGTTTTTATTATAAATATACCTTAGTATACCTCTGATTTTTCCCATTTTGGCATGTCAGACATTGCCATAATCTTTCGTACAGGAGTAACATAATCTTTTGGCTCTTCACTCATATTTTCACCTAAAAATTAGAAAATTGAAATATTTATTACTATGAACATTCATACATCTATGTGCACATAAATGAAAACTGATTTTAAACATTATATTTTGTATATTTATTAAATATTACACACAACACACACACACACAGGATGGATGAAAAGTAACTACGCATTGAGAAATTGCTCTAATTCAGCATTTCTCAAAGTGGGCAATAACGCCCCCTTGTGGGCAATGAGTAAATCTAGGTGGGTCTGAAGGCAAGGTATTGAATGACAAAATTGGGGTCACTGAAAGCTATTCCCTTTCCTCTGTTAAACTGATAAGAGGAAACATTGCATTTAATCGTTTCCAGATGTTGAGAACAATGTACAGTAAGGGCACAAAGTGGTGAGATTCATGGAAAAGTTTTCCTAATATTTCCAATCCTTTCTCACACAAGAGAAAATAGGTTAGGGGCATTGGGTATAACTTTATGGAACAAAGGGGTGGTGGATCGAAAAAGTTTGGGAATCACTGCTCTAATTTCTATATTTCTAATGCAAAGATGATAAAAATGATCTAACATGAATTGTACCTTACTAAATGGAAATACAGATACATATCTGAAAATTCAATGTAGGCACCAGTGTCATCAACCAGTGACAAGTTTTCTTCAGATTGTGATGTGGATGGATGGCCACTCTTCTGTGCATCCACAACCAAACCAGTGGACCTGTGGTCATTTTAGTTTCAAATGACAATTCTTGATTGTTTCCAGATGGATTGTGGCATGATGCCCCTTCACTGTATGCCACCATTTCTGCACAGTAATTGGTGATTTCTACACCTCATAGCATGCAGCAACTTTGCACTCACTCCTGAACAGACAAGTAGCCAGCAATAGTCTTTTTTTTTTTTTGCCATTGTGCATAATGCTTCTCTTGGTCACTGCCAACACCACCAATGCAGAAATTATAAAATTCTATTGATTAATGTACATACATACACACACATTTTATTATGACTGCATTATTATTACAACAGTTATAGCCAAGCCAGACTTCCAATCAAAAGCTGGCTGGCCAATGCTTAATGTTGTCCATAATATGTAATTGTGAGTTGTTATGCTCCACTTTCACATTCATATTTGATTCCTTGAATGCTGCCAGCAACAGACCTTCACAATGAAAGAAGAAAGACATCACTTTTCCCAGAAAGGCATAATTTTTTTTTGAAGACATCAGATGCTTCTAATGCACAGTTGCTGTCTTACTAATTGGTTCATATTGATAACAACCATGTTTAATCTTGGCTACAAATTTTGTTAAAAATGAATCATCCTTGTTGCCAGTTTTATTTTTCCAGAACCATGTTTATTATTTGTTGCTTCTTTTATGTTGATCATTACTCCATAACAACACATCTTTTTGTAATTTTCCATCTTTATTTCCATATCCATATATATGTTTTGGGAGCTTTATCTCCCCTCATCAGTATGGTACATTCCCTTTTTTTCAAAACATTCATATGCTTAAAGTTATTCACAAGACTAGCTATTTGTACTGCCATTTCAGTGGCTAAGGAAAACTTTGCCACACTTCTTTGGTTTGTGGCTAAGTTGAGTGTTCCTTGCAGTGTTCAGACCATTATAACTCATTTTTTTGTTTCTTTAGACTTGTTAAAAAACTATTAAAAATTCTTGTTGGACTGCAATTTGAAAAAAATTGTAACCTATTAATTCCTATTGTCATTCATCTGTTGTCTGTCCTTCCTTAATCTCAAGAATAGTGTTAGATAGATGAAAGTCGAGACTAGATATGGAAATCTTAAGGAAAGGAGGTCTCGATTTACTATATAAGAACTTCTGTTTTGGGTCAGAAGTCATATTATTTCAATTAAAAAATTTTCTCCTGAACAGAGTTAGATACATGATTGGCATGACTTCATTGTCAACAAGAAAAGTGTGATGTATAGGGACAAGACACTACTGAACTTAATTTAAGTGTATTGTAACAAAAAATTGCAGCCCATCATTGTGACAATGTCACAATAAATAACTGCTTGTTTTTCTCATTCTTTTCTATCCTTTTCACTCTATAGCAGTGGTCCTCAACCCCAGGGCCGCGGACCGATACTGGTCCGTGGATCAAATGGTACCGGCCCACCCAAGGAACATTAAATTACTGGTATTTCCATTTTATTTACTATGGTGTATTTCTCTCGGGTTTGTGTGACTTTTAATGGACGACGGAACAACGGAATAAACTGGACATAAGAAACACACTTCGGGTGTCATTGTCCCAGATGGAACCGTCTTGTTGCAAAAAACAAGTTCAGGGTTCTCATTGATTTAGTATTCTAGTGAGTTAAAATGTTAAAATCACATTATACAGTGAAAACTGCTTAGGCGACCACCTGCATTCGACGGGCACCTGTCAAAACAAGCAAAATTTCTGGCACGGAATAGTTTATCCATAGTGTCTTCATATAAGTTACCTGTATTAAACGACCACCTGTGTAACGTGACCGCGGGCATCGATTTTTGGTCCGAAACAACATACAACAACTGTAATAAGCGACCACTTTTGCAAATGTATCTGGTCTAAACTATTGTAAGAACCCATCTCAACAATGTTTCCACCTCCTAATATAATGAATTAGTCTAAACTCGTTTGAACCCATCCTGGGCACTTCTCCCACGCTTGAAATTAGGTGCAGGTGTTAATAAATTAGTCTAACAACAAAGGAAATTCATTTCAGTTTGTTGGAAAATGTCCGAAATGCAAAGTGCTGTCGTTAAAAGATCGTATTAAAGTTATCACAACACAGCAATTAGTGGCGAAGTTTAACTGTGGGAAAACAAAATTAATTTTACCCTAGACTTACAGTATTTTCCTTAGGGGTGTATAATATTGTACACGATACAATTAATCAACTGATCTCATCGTTTGATAAAATCTATTTTTATTTATTTATTTTGAAACTCATATACAGTACAAGTGCGATAAATAGTTTCTGTATCAACTTAACTTATTTCCACGATATTTTTAGAAAAATAATATCTAAGTAATTTTCGCAGGCAAAATATTTAAAAAACAATAAACGCATTAATGCAAAAATCAGTTTTACTTCCTTTTTCGATTCCGCGATTGTAATGAAATCGTACAACGAGAAAAAATAATAAAATCGTTTTATTATTAATTAATAATTTTTCTTACTGTACTTAATTAATTAAGAAAATATTAAATATTTAAAAAATACAGTATTTTTAAAGTTAAAATAAGATTAAACTAACGAAAACCAAAAGCAAAGTGATGGAGAGATAGAACGCGCTTGTATATTGATGACGTAATACACGTAACTGAGGAGAGAACGAAAAGAACCGAGTCGAATTAATTAAGTCGGAAAAAAGAAAGTGTGCATTATAATCGAGAAAATGCGACTATTGTATTAATCTTTAAAATATTGGTGTTAAATCAGTCTTATAATATCATGACAACTCCTGTAAATCGGGTTATCCGATAAGAATAAAATACAATACCAATATAGCCCTATCATCGAAAAAATTCGCTTATTTTTTGCTCATCTCGAGTTTTGCTTAGTAGAAATGGCTAAAAAGTGTGCAAAATACATACAGAAATACGGTATTACAGCACCACCTGTATTGGACGACCACCTGTCTAAAAGACCACTTTTTGAAGGAATTGTGGGTGGTCGCCATAGACAGGTTTTACTGTATTCATTTTTCGGTGTAACTGTATTTTATTTTGAAGGCATGTTTAAATACAATTAAATTAAAATTATTAAATTAAATCAATCTAAAATATAAACAATCAACATCCCCTTTCAATGGGCCAAGGTAAAATATCAAACGTTGACTGGTCTGCGGCGATAAAAAGGTTGGGGATCGCTGCTCTATAGGGTAGAGTGGAGCCACTAAAATGCAGTACAAGCAGCTAACTTTGTGAACAACATTAAATTGGTTCATATTGATTGATGTTTCTAAAAGATATGGATGTTTCAAAAAGAGGAAATATATTTCCTCTTTGTCTTTCCTCATCAGTATGGCACATAGTGATGAGGAAAGACAAAGCTCCCAAAATATACATATGGCTAAGAAAATAAAAAAGGAAATAACAAAAAGGCATGCATTGTTATGGAATAATGATCCACATAAAAAGAAATAAAAAATGATTCCCTTTCTCCTTTATTCCTCCTTTAAATACAATATATATCTGTTAAAACAAATTGTCATTTTTATATTAAGCTTTGAATAACAAATCTAAAAACCCCTCATACCTCCTATATAAATAAATACTTTTATGAATTGCAATGAATTTGAAAAAACTGATCATTTTTAGAATTTTTTAAATATGGTGGAATTTATTGCAGCTTATTTCACTATTATTTCACATTAAATGTTCTAGTGATTCTGTTAGTCAATACCAGTCCTTCACTGTTATGTATGACATACAGATGATGCCTTTACATAATTTTCATCCATGCAAAAACTTCCATCAGAGGAACTCCTTTTTTCATGCAAAACTGAATGACTTCTTGTTGGTCTTGTTTGGTCAAATTCAGTATTTGCTATGTCATGATTATGGATGAAAAAACAACTAATAAGAAAACTTTTGATCTGTTTTGTCAAGCATGCTCCACTCTACATGCTTACATATTATTTTCTCATTCAGAATGCCCAGCAACTTTATTGGATTTGCCAGATAATTTGTTTTGAACACATTAAATATATAAAATTTTGCTATAAATCATCTTTCTCATGTATATATATATATACATATAAATAACTTATTTTTCGGATCTACTTAATTGAATTTTATAATGATCTTGTATTTCTTAAATATTTTTGAAATATCAAGAGACATAAGCTTCATTTTTATAAATAATCTTCATTTCAAACTATGAATATTCATTACAATTTCATATACTTAATATGATATTTAAAAAATTATATATATAGTTGTCATCTATACTAATACAAATCACTGAATTAGAGGAAGAGATATTATGAAATTAATAATTTTTTTGTAAATCACTTTTATAATTTTCAATTGTGAAATCATTTTTAAGGTATCAATATTTTAAAACTAAGGTTGGGGCAAATTTGAGAAATTACATCTATACTTTTGTACAGGTGTTGCCTAAATAGAATACAAGCAAATTCTTTCAAACAGCTTAAATTTCAAAATATATTCATAATAAGCTCTATTATTTATTGCTAGAATTTCACAACAAATATTTGTCACATCTAATGAAAAAAATAAATTATTGATAACATCAAAAATAAATTATTGATAACATTTAAATTCTCTCTACATACTATATCAGATAAAGTGAAATGAGTAATAGATATAAATATATAAAACAAGCAACACTTTAAATATATATTATCTTTTTCTGTTGAATCAATGAACTTTTAACAGTGAACAAAATCAAAGGAACACTAATGTTTGCAACCTGTTAATGGGCCATTTTCAGGAATGGACTGATGACAGTGAAATGCCATTATTATTTAGGAAGACAAAACTCTATCCAATTTTTCTTCCTAATTAAGTTCATCTTTATCATCAATTTAAGTTTATTTTCATAATAATTGGAAACTTTAACATGTTTATTACAAAGTTTCAAATAAGATTTTTTGATTCAAAACTGTTACTGTCTAGAAATGCTTTATTCAAAATAGCATTTATTTGTTTTCTAATTTCAATTTTAAAATGTCTTCAAATCCTCAATCTTCATTTTATTTATTTCTAATTTATTAGTTATGTATTTCATTACATTTTAATTCTATTATTTGATGGTAATTATTTTATTTGAAACAATAGTTATTAATTTTTTTCTTTTTGTCTAAAACTGTACTAAATGATAATGCATAATATTTAATTCAAAATTATTTTATTAATTTACTGTATATATTTAATTATTATTTTTCCAGTATCCTACAAAATTTGTAATACTGCAAAGGTTTTGAAAAAATTTGATTTTGTGGAAATTTTAAGTTAAATTTTTTTTAATGTAATTGCTAATTTATTTCATTTTAAATGTAAGGTGTCTTAATTGTATATATTAATGTAATAAATGTATATAGTAATGTAATAAATTAATTGTAAATATTTTTTTTAATGGTACCTATATACAAAAATACATAATAAGATATTAATAAGAATTGGAAGAATCTAAACTTATATTAAATGAAAAGTATATTGAATATAAAGCATATTTTTTTTTATCAAAAATAATGCTAAACATTTGCCAGACTACATCAGGCTATATTAATGTTGTTATTAATAATTAAATATTAAGTAATTTGGCCTGTAGGTAGGCATTAGGCACCTCTTGAAGTGTAATAATTATAACTAATATAGCCCAATATAATCCAGCAATAGTTTGGTATTGATATATTTGCAAAAATAATGCTACAAAGTGCCACAAAATCTCTATGTATGTGATTATGTCTTGAGTGTCCTAATTAAATTAAAAATTCTCAACAACAAATTTAAATGGACAGTAGTTGTACAGCAGTGACAAAAAACCTTTTTTTTGGATACAGACTAGAAATGAACTTTGTAGACTTTTGCATGCATTTTTTTCTTAGAATTACAGGCAGGCAAATAGCAACATATTCCAAAACCACCAGTATACTAGATACTAAAATAATATATACAGTAGTTTATTCTCATCTTTTTACTAGTTGAGTTTAGTTTGACAATTCTTCAAAATAAATATCAGCTCAATTGGAGGTGTATAACAGCATGTGGCAGAAAACAGAAAAATTACATGGCCAAAGCCCCGGAGGCACACATTAGGACCTCACAGGCCACGGGTTGTTCTTCATGGCCACATGGGGATCCAATGCCACACGACCTTAAAATACACACACACACGACAATTTTCTTTGAATATTAAAAAATAGAAAAATTTCATTTTTTGTTTTACAATATTTGAAGACCCAAAATCAAGTATCAGACTAAATTTTAATGACTGCAATTAGCATTTGTGTGGAATTGAAACATTTCAGTAGAAATTACTTTTAGGCAAGTCATACATATATAAGGTAAAATTATACCTCCAAACGAGACGGTTGGGACTTTATCAGAGTTGTAGACTATACCCACAGGAGCAAAAAAGTCAAAGAAACCACACCTCTACACACGACCCTTTGAGAGATACATCCCTCAAAATTGGCCACACTTCATTGGGAGTCATGCGTCATGCTCCGCCAAGACCATTGCATTTAACTATTTAGCCCAGGCAACTATGCAGCTTTGACAGTCCGTTCACAGAGTACTCAACATCATATAGTTTTAGGGAGCATGGGGGCCAGCCCCAAGCAGATGCCACAGTGTCAGCACCAAGGCACACAACTATGTGCAGAGCGTCAGTCACAGCTTCTATCACTCGCCTCGACCAACGCCAAGGACCATGGAGAAAAGGCAGTCCAGTACAAGGTAAAAACTTACTTTTTGAGGCAAATATCTCACAAATGGTTGCATATATGGGTATTGTTCCTTTGACTTTTTTTGTTCCTATGAATATGTTCTACAGCTCTGTTAAGGTCCCAAACGTATCATTCAGCCGGAAATGTCAATGCAATTGTAGAGTCGTGTTTGTGTCGTTATTCGTAACAATAAAACTCTTCATATCAATATCCTACATTAAGACTAATTAACAATAATACAGTTTATCGACAGATATATTACCTGACATGTTAGATAAGCTTTTCAGAATTTAAAAGGAAATTACAAATTAAATTGGAAGAGTCAACGATCGTCTGCAGATTTTTAACCCTAAAACAGAGAACGAGATTATACTGTAGTATAAAATACTGTATATTTAAAAAAATATATTATTATATTATAAAATATGAGAATTAAAATTATAAGTAAGGTTATATTATTTTATTTTTCGTTATGTTTTTAAAAAGTATAATATAATTAGTACTCTATAACCATATGTAAAAATTTGAATCGCTCCATAGAGAAAACACGATGGCCGAGCGGTGAAGGTGGCAGCCTACCATTCTGGGAACCCGGATTGAATCCGGAAGGGTCGAAAAATCCTCAGGAATTTTTCGGGGGGGAAACCCAACCGAAACACACCCCCCCGATCCTCACCACTTGGTCGGCCCATTGTGGGCCTAGCCGAACCCATAATGGGCTTGCTATAAGAGGCTCTCTTAGTACCCTCAGGGCAGAAAGAGTTAAAAAAAAAAGAGAGAGAGAGAGAAAACACGAGAAGTTACCGATATTATTTTTTAAAATCTCTTCTTGAATTTTTAAAATTATTTTTTATAAAATGAAAATCTTTAATACTGAAAATATATATTAAAATTTTTGAGTCAAGAAGGATAGTCTTTACGGAATAATCCAGTGGAATTCCGGAAGAATAATCCTCGTTAATTCAACATGGATCCCAAGTTGTTTATCAAAATACAGTGTTCTAAAACTATAAGTTACTTTTAAGCAGCAATATTTTTAAGATAAATAATAATAATAATGAACTGGCTCCTAAAAAGATTTGAAGGCAAAAACATTGACTGTTGTATTTGCTATTGATATGCATAGATATCTCCTTCTCTTTGACTGGATCTTTTGGCAAATCGCCCGCGTGTTGCGTCGCCTTATATCATCATTCAAACAATCTATTTTTTTAAATAAATAATTTCAGAGAGTTTCTCCCAATTAGAGATTTTTTCAAATATATAAGAATTTAACAGGGGTAGTTAATTTAAGATAAACTAAAAGTATAAGTCTATTTAGAAAATTAATTTATTTACACTATTTTCTACACGGAAAAACTGACAAACAGATGCAAATTTGGCTCAGTTCAAATAAGTTAATGACATAACTAATGTTTCTCACTTCGAGCTCATAACGGAATATATAAATAATAACTTTGAAAGACGAATTTGCTACTTTCAAAATAGATTCCGCCTTTTGTAAAAACAAATTCTTTTAATAAACAAAGTATATAAGGAAAATTTACTGATAGAAAATTCTCATCTACGTTCTCTGACTAAAGTATTAAATCCCATGATATTTTTCTAATTCACTATATTCGTCTTTAATGATACATAGATGATGGTTATTTCTTTGGGTACATCGAAATGTAGTTAAAATATGTAAAGGTTATTCAATGGATGAATTTCTTACCGAATTCTTATTCTTCTCTCCCTCTTACATTGTTTTAACTGAGTCTGTTTCTCTTACAGACTACTGACATTTTAAACGAACGTCTTTTAAACCGAGTTTCGTATACGTTCTCAATTGATATCTTAATTTTGTCAGACATGTCACTGTGTTTTTGATTAAATAGTGAATTTTACATATATAAACCTCGACTATGTCAACTTGCGATCATTAACAACAAATTTTTTCGCCGAATGCTGGATGAGATCTCACAGTTCCTAGATTTAAAAAAAATTATTCATTTAGATCTTAATTATCCTTAGAATAATGCTATTTTTTTAAATTTAAACTTAAATTTATAATATAATGATTGACTTTAGAAATACTTTTTTTGTTACTGTGGCTATGTTGATTTTACTTTTTTTTTTGTTTAGTTTGATTAAGCACTTTTTAAATTTTTTTTACCTTCAATAAATATATATATATTTTTAAGCATCAGATTAAGACATTTCTTTGGATTTTTCATCCAACTAGCATTAGCTTTTTGAGTTTCAAAATATGTTAAGATACGTTATTGATTAGATTTGAGCATTAATTCAAGTAAGTGCTTGTGGTGTAGTGGTTATCACATCCGCCTGACACGCGGAAGGTTCTAGGTTCGATCCCTGGCAGGCACAGCATAACCCCGCGTTTCTTTATGCATCGCTCGAGAAGCGCTTTACAGCGAACACATTGAAACTGGTTTCTAATTGACTATCACTGCTCGTGACGTCATTTCGCTGCATAAAGAAACGCGGGGGAACTTTTAGACTAATGTCAGAAGAGCGTGAAAAAGCACCGACGCTATTTTTTCCACGTGAAATTTCACGGAGAGAAATGTGGACAGACGAGCGTTATTTTTCACGGAGCGCGTTGGTAATGTTCCATTTCAGACGCGTGTATATGTCAACATGGATCTCATAGATTGAGATGTGATGTTTTTTATTATGTGCAGAAATATTTAAAAATTAAAACAATTTCTGTTTTTATAAAGTTCAAATAAACTTTTTCTCAATAATTTGTACGATTATTTTACTAACATCCATGTCTTATTTTTTAAAATACGCGAGTACCGTACTCTTCGGCAGGAACAACACTGACCAGGCACTTCCTGGAAACAATGTTAACATGTCCGTGGTTTTTCACGCTCGTCTGACATTAGCCTTATAGTGCTGTTGATACTTAAGTACTTTATATTACCATATTCTGTTTATATTAATATATTTTATACTATTTTATCTAAATATAAGACGGGAAACGCCTTATATTCGAAGGTTAAAAACAAGATCAATAAAAATAAACGAAATTAAGAAATTAGAATCTCTTCTAACAAGCTGTTAGTTAAAGGGTGTTGCCGATAAATTATGAATCTATTGCATTCACAAAGATGCAAACGATAAATTTACGAATAGATAAAAACCATACTGTAGATTATAAAAATAAAATTTATTACATTTATTCCGGATTTTTAAAAAATTGTAATTTATTATCACAACAATTATGTACTAAGCAAACGAAAGAGCCATTTTATTTTGCTAATTATCTTTTATAAACTTGAAACAAAAACGAAATCGAAAATTGCTATCTTGCACATACATGAAATTAAAAAACATACTAATGTTTAGATTTATTTGTACTTTAAACTTAATTTTTAAAAATCATTAAAATGTTTTTTAATATACTGTGAACTTCATAAAGATAAGTGGTTCGAGTCTCTTTATCAATCACTGATAGGTGCCGTATATAATAGTATATACAGTATGTGCGCACTCATGGCCAAAGAAAAAAAATAAGCATAACTGCCCAATTCACAGATAAATATAACAAATGAAGGAAATTTACGTGTATGTTTGTTTTGTTAAGGCAACGCAACACTTGGGCGATCTTCCTAGTTACCGATAAAACTCCTTCCGGGAGGTTTTTTATGGAAAACCTGGCCCCTATTCAAGCGTTACAAACATGGAGAAAACCCGGAAAACTCCAAGTGACTAGTTTGTCCTGGTGAGGCGCGAACAACTACAGAACTCTCAGTGTTCAAAGAACATAACCGCTTGACCACTGGTGGGCCTCATGAGAATGTTTCTAAATTGTAAAAAATATCTAAGACGTTGTAGAATAATTCATTAAAATGCACAAGTTTACGCAAAATATTCAGGCTTCATAAATATAGCAGTAGCGTTGCATTGTTTCCATTGTGATTTAACCATAGAGAATGATGTTTGTTTCTGTTTTACTATATACTAATAATGATACTACCACAAAGATGCCACATAAATGCTTTTATGAAAGAAAGAATTATTTGTAGGCTAGAAATAGACTAGTCGCAGACAGATATGTTCAGGACCCTGAATGTGCTGCAGAACGTAATATTCATGTTTTGGGCCAGATTTCAAAGAAAAAACGATTCTGAACGTCAACTAGAAAGCAGTCGTTCAAGAGTTATCGTCCCCTCAACGGGGTGGCTATTTGACGTTAGCAGCACATCGTAAAGAAAAATGTCTACAGAGCCGTCTACCGCTACCTGTGTTAGAGTTTCATGAAAAACTGTCTATAGGAGGCTTCGGGCAAATGGTCTTTCTGCCAGACAATCGGTACGGTGTGTTATATTGAACCTTGTATACAGAAAATCACATTTAAGATGGTGTTGAAGAACAACATCGACATGGAACTTTGAATGAAGGGAGTAATTCACTGAGAAGTCCGGGTGCAGTCTAAAGAAGGATTTTTAACAGGTTAGAACCCGATACACTTTTATGAACATCGTAGAAAGAGATAAGTTTACAGGTGGTTGTATCGTGGTCTGAAGCGGCATTATACTTAAAGACAGCTCCACACTTTTGCAAGGGATGCCATTACAGCAAGAAAGTACAGAGACGAGGTTTTGGAACCTCGTGTGAGGCTTTCGCGAGGTGCTGTGGGTGCACATTTTATTTCCATGAACAATAATGCTTGTGTATAATAGGGCTGCAACTCTTCAATGACTTTCTTGACATCAAAGCATGGAATGGTCAGCAAGAACTCTGGATCTAAAGTCCATAGAATATGTATGGAGTCCCTATGAAGACTAATTTCATATACTAAATTCAAACATAACAGACTAAAATTTTTTACAATTGAATGTGCAAGTAATTCGGTAATAAATTAGTGTACAGAAAATTTATACCGCGAAATAAGTGTTTCTTAAACTTTGTTCAGAATAAATTAACTTGAATAGATTTGGTTAAGCCATTCACTTGATTACCATTAAATGATAGTTTTATATCGGAATATAAAAATTCATAAACGAAACTGTTTAAAACTATATGCCCCGTAATGATTCTTTCTAATTTCGTTCGAGAAATTTGAATTAAAAGTTATAAAGAACTCTGATTATATAGAAATTATTTTTATTCTGATATATTTATATATAAATACAATTATACAAAATATGTAGGATTAAATAAACATTTATGATTTTAAACGTTATTAAGATCAATTCCTAGTCTGATGTTCAATTGTAACGGTGATAAAATTAAGGAAAGAGAATCACCATCCATTTTTAACTACAATTAAAAAATGGCAAATAGAGGCATCCTGGGAAAGTCTTCCATTGAAAATTGGATCCTATTGAGATGTTATACACGTGAATAAAATTCGGAAAATTCCACATGGCCAGCCAGTTGGTGAGGTACGA